CCCCCCCCGTTCACAGCGGTGCCACCTTCATGACAAGATATCCTGGCTCGGCCCTTTTGACTGAAGCCCGTCTTAAGACACACACGTGTCTATCCGACGAGCCTGGTATCTATCAATTTACATACGTTAGAAATTAAATTAGTGTTATAATCAATTATAACTAAATTACTGAGCAACAGGGCCAAGGGATTCAGTGCTAAAAAGTCATAATTAGAGACGAATTGGTGTAAAAAGGAAAGCCGTGCGGGATGCGGAATCCGAATTCATGTGACTAAGCTGACCAGCCAATAAATATAACTGAAATATACAAGACAACCGCAGCGTGGGAACCATTGCATATGAGCAATCACCAACTCAGATAAGCACTCAAATTATACGAAATATATTGAAATTTTATTTGTTGACATATTAATGTGAAGTGATGGAATGAATGTGTGTGTGAATTTTAATAGTTGTAAGCTCAAATGTCTATCGTATCGGCGCCGTCGAATTGCATATTAACTATTGTGATCAATTTTGTTCTTTTCTTACTTCTTTTCGGTCATTTATAAAACGATTTTGTAATTTAAATTTTCATCAATAAATTTATTTCGAGTTCACCAATACTAGAATTCGTTACATTAATGAGCAAGAAAACAAACTCTAAGCAAACTCCAAACGTGGGAAATTACGGAAATATGAATCTCTCGAATATTACGACTTCGTAATTTAATGACACAAGTGCATGGTGGCAGGCTGGCGTGCGAGAGTCTCGGGTTCGAGACTCGACCATTAATAGGCTTAAGCAACTAGAATTAAATTAAAGTTTTGTAGGGTATGTTCCTAAAGTTATTGAGAATGCTAAAAAAAAATAATGTTCCCAGCATTCAGGGCTCTTTACACCGAAACCAGCAAGTCGTGACCAATGAACGAAGAGGATCCACCTCGAAACGTTATAAATCAATTGCAAAGCATCTTTTCCATTGGTCACTGTCTGCTGTTCGCTGCTTTTGGTGTGAATGAAACCTTACACGATCAGTTTTGTAGTAGAGCGATAGACAAATGCAGCATAACCGATAACTGATAATCGAGAACAAAATAAGAAAAACGAAAAGAGATAATCGTTATCTCAAACTATACCTCTCTATCACCGAAACCAAAATCAGTTATGTTTAAGAATTGAAACTGAAAACCGTAAACGAAAAATTATTAATTAATAACCTGAAACCGAAATTTAGGCTTTAGTTATAGCAAATACCGCAACCGAACCGATATTACTTTCGGTTTCGGTTCCTGAAATAAACAGTCTACAACCCTCCCTCCCAAGTGCCCCGCATAAGCTAACCGGTATTTCCACCTCTTCATCGATATTCCCCTGACCAAGGTGTTTGACCATGCCTATCAACGCATGCGCTCTCCCAAAGTGCTCTGATTCAAGTGCGCATTCCCAATAGACATATGAAAAGGGAGGGGACGTCGACCATTGCGGAATTTGATCAGGGCTTCAATTAACTATTCAGGAGTTGGACTGTTTTTATTCAATTACATGATTCCAGAATTAATTATTACAAGGGTAACAATTCACAACACATCGGCAATAAATGCATTTATAAAGTAAACAGTATATTGAAGTAATTGTTTTATTTTTGTTGCTCATCTATGAAATTCTCTGTATATTCTAGCTAAATAATGTGTAGTGTCGTAGTAACGTTCCTTATATGTATATTGTGCCTGTTTCTCGATTAATGCCGATCTTTCGTAGGTTAGATACTGTACAAATTCGCTTCTGACACATTATCGTTTGTACATTCTTTGTGATTAAAAGAAACATTTTTCGTTAAGAAGGAATTATTATATTTGCGTAGATGATGCCACTTATGATTTTAACCCTTTCCGCCCTATGAACCCATACATATATGTGTTCTGAGAAAGTAGTTCCTTATTGCCTATGAATCCTTATACATATGTGTTCGATACCAACAATGTCTTCATATTTAGATGCACCGCACGATTGTACAATATTTTTACTTTTGTTTACGTGAAGTGTGTATCTGTAAATGAATTGAGCTGAAATTATCGGTACATGTGTTTTGCTATCAGTTGACGGTTGTTAATTAATATCTATACCTATTCACGAAAATTTCATGCACTTAAACTTCAAGTTTAATCAGGCAACCGCGCGCTTTATCGTAAAAAGTGGGCAGACCACAGATAAACATTTCCTTTGCACAGTTCAGGGCGGAAAGAGTTAAGCACATGAATCTTCTGATGAATGTTATATAACGTAAACGCATGTCCTATTAGGGTGCGCCCTATTAAGATCAGAAAGCTTTGTTTTACTACATTAACATGAAACAATGCAGTGCACACTTAATATTTATTTATTTTGTGTTGCTCAACAGGACTCACGTGAGTTATCTTTGCTCTACAATACGATTACGATATTATACTGTGCATTATTTTGACTTTTTCTTCTTAGAGAGTGCCCCAAACATTATTTCAAAAAGCATGACAATGGTGGATAATATTACGCCCGATAAGTAAAGTATAAATATTGACTTCAGTTGCCAAAGCTTAAGCTTTTTTGGTTCTATATTAGATTCACGCGCCTTTTGAATTTTGACTTTGCTGTTTTCGTTTTTCCACCAAATCATTAATCCGGATTCCCCTAAACGTACGATAATATTATTCAATTCAGGAGTCAATGCGGAACCTTTGCGAACTAAAATTGTGAGAGGATACGATAGAATGCATTCGTCAAACGTAAAGAAATATACCTCTTTCATCGTAGTAATACGTTTTAAGTCCCTTGTCAGGAACCCAAGCGTACGAAATTCTGACTTCCCTTTTGCAGTTCCTCGTGAAAGAGTACATTTGGAACCCTTTGAATACGTTGTTCTCCAGGAATGTGACAGTCACGTTTTCAATTGAGTTCTCGTGTGCCAAATCCAGGACCTTTCTTACTTCGTCTTTTAGTAGATTGTTTGTAGACAGGATTTGCACTATGGTTCTGTCAAGTGCGGCTACAGCGTTAACGAAAATTTCAAAATTATCTATGAGATAAGGCATGGAGGGACTTTCTTCTTGACTTTGTAGAATGTGCAACAAGACGATGGGTCCTCCTGGCATTAATTTTGATCGAACAATATCTGCTTCCGTCTTGATTAGTTGTACCTCCTTCCTGACGGTCAATATCGAAGCTAAATATGTCTGGTAAGCAGTTATAGCCACAATTGCATAAAAAATATAAGAAAGGAAGTAGATTCTTCCTGGCCGACTGGTTGGCAGCCTTTGAACTGCAGTTCCAAAAGTGGCACGGATCACGTCTATTGTCACAGCAATGCAAGTTTCCCTTTCCCGATTTCCTAAAATTGAAAAATATTAGTATAATCGATTTCGTACGTAAATATGTGCGTGGCTACCTTACTTGATCTGATTCTGGAAAGAATATAGATGAAGATGCAGCTGAATATGATTGATGACACGACGGCGACCCATAGATACGTGCTGAATTCGGAATACAGGACATCTTCTGCGGAACCTGTTATCGCCGGAGTT